ACCACAAATCATCCCGCTCACCAGCGACACGCCGCGTTTACGCCAGCGTTTACGCCAGCGTTTACGCCAGCGTGTTTCGCGCTCCCCACGCCACGCAACGCACTTTCCACCAAGGCCGCGCAAATCCCAATGGCACTGCGACATCACGAACGTCGCGTCGCCACACGGTCTGCCCAGACACTAGAAGCAAACATGTCACACGATACCACAATCATCCCGCTCACCAGCGACACGCCGCGTTTACGCCAGCCTGTTTCGCGCTCCCCAGTGGCACGGCGCCACGCAAACGCACTTTCCACCAAGGCTGCGCAAATCCCAATGGCACTGCGACATCACGAACGTCGCGTTGCCACACGGTCTGCCCACACACTAGAAGCAGTCACGCGGGCGATTCGTACGAGACTTCCTCCAAAAGTCACGCTTCGAGGCTGCAAGACGAGCGTTTCGTACAAGACTTCCTCCAAAAGTCACGCGTCAAGTCTCCAAAACGAACGTTTCGTACGAGACTTCCTCCAAAAGTCACGTTTCGAGGCTGCAAGACGAGCGCTTCGTACGAGACTTCCTCAAAAAGTCACACGTCAAGTCCGCAAAACGAGCGTTTCGCACGAGACTTCCTCAAAAACTCACATGTCGAAGTCTGCAAAACGAGCGTTTCATACGAGACTTCCTCCAAAAGTCAAGCGGAAACACCATCGGAGCACACACATCACGCAGCCCTGCGAAGCAGCTTTGCGATTCCAGCCCCTCCAAACAACACCCGCTCACACGCCAATCCCAATGTGACAGCGACATTCACCTCTACCACAACTCACAACCTCACGATTCCCTGCGCCTGCCACGAATCTTTCCGCGTCCACACGTCTAACGCGCACAAAGTACTGCGCCTGCTACGAAATGTCACCTCCGCCACACCTCGCAACCTCGCGATTCCCTGCGCCTGCCACGAAAAGCGCACTTCCACACTTCAAAACCTGCACAAAGTACTGCGCCTGCCACGAAAAGTGGCAATATCATCTCATGTGAGCTTCAACAAATTTGCACCACACACACGCTTGGAATGATTTCGACCCGTTCTGAGCACACTCCCATCCACCAAAATCGCCACTTCAGCTGAGACTTGTCACGAAAACAGAGCTTCGATGCCACACCCTGAAACGCAAATCCCAATGGCACGGCCACATCCAACACCCCAAAAACACGACTCTCCAAACGCTAAATTCCCAATGGAACTGCGCAGAAAACTGCGGATGTCATAAAAAAACGCTGCACCTGCGCAGTGAAATCATCCTCCACACTTCAACATCTTACATTTCCACACGATTCCTCGCTATTTCAAACGAATCTGACATGTCACGCTTTCGTCCGAAACCCTCTCCAAAAGCTTCCCCCAATGGCAGCGCCTTAGCGCTCTACTGCGAACGGTTGCGGACGGTTGCGGACCGTTGCGACCTTAGAAACCACGGGTCGCGAACAAGGCTCTACCCCCAGACCCCCAGAGTTAAACGAGAACCCTTCGCTACGCATTCGGGAAAACACTAAAAACAATAGATAAAAACTAAAAACAATAAATAAATAGGCGCTCTTGACCAATGACCCTTGATTTCATGTCTCAAGGCTGCTTGAGAAATTCTGCCTAACTGCCTAGCTTTGACTCCACGACAGAATGATCTTCTTCCATCCAAGCCCTGAGTCTAAAGTACTCCGCATGTTCTTCAGTGCACTCCCCTAAAACTGATGTGCCAGGTAAAGGAAAATGTTTTGTTTGAGGTCATTTCCATAAACATCACCAGCATGACTGCCCTCTCACCCTCTCTCCTTGACGGTGGTCAAGACCTCGCGTAGCCGTGCTTCGTGGTCTCCCTGCGTCAGTCGGCCCATCAACGCCTGCAGTTCGCAGTTGGCAACGGCTCGATGTGCAGTTCGCCTGGCAGTTTCCACTGGTTGCGCCTGTGCACCTTTGCTCTGATGTCGGTGAAGTGTTTCCAAATAGGCCGCGGCCTGGTCAACGTGGAGGCGGACACATTGCGGAATTCGGAAGTCACTGGCCCCCAACAGTTTTGAACTGCACAAATGTTGTTCGGTGTAAATTTTCAAAGAACTAACCTTGAACTATCATTCAGCTTGGATGACCAGAAGTGAACCCTTGAAATATGAGCCAGAGCAGAACAATCTGTGAACGATGTTATGGGCCCCTGTGTTTTCGCACATCTGCAACGTCATTACCCCCCGGCCCAACGAAACGCCCTGCCGGGAATAGCGGAACGTCGGGACTGTTGTGGTGTCACATAAACAACGTTGCATCAGTAGGAGGTCCAAACCGCCAACATTGCAGGGGCCCACAAGACCAACCATAAGACCAATGACACCAAGAACAACTGCAAGAACATCTCCCCACCTCTGCATCTGTCCAAGCCAGCAGCAGTGACAACTTCCCATGGAAAGCTGTCAGAGTTACCTTGGGACAAAGACCAGGGAGAAATGACGAACACGTCGCGGGCGTATCACAGGCTAAATGACTCCACAGTAAATGAATAGGCCAATCAACGTTGACATTTCACCCTTCAGTCTGTCCATATCAACGGCCCTTCGCAAGAAGTTCCAGACTAGAAAAAGGGCAAACACCCTGGAATTTGGGTGCTCTGACCGCACCTGCTCGAGTGCCTCTTCTGGCTGCTCCACATCTACTCGACATAGCAAAATCCGGTTTCTCCATTCACCTGGCTAAGTACCAGCTGGTTGAGAGCTGAGAGGGACAGTCCCTCTCATTCATATGACATCGGAACAAGACCGGCGATTCTGCAAAAGTTGGTCTTGGTTTAACATATTCCGGCGGTTCCGCCCAGTCCCAAAGTTTGAAGGCGCCTAGAGATTTCAAGCGTCGATCGAGGTAATCTTGATGTATACGCCTCACTCGCTCCATGTGAGTCAACACATATCCCACACAATGCCTCAACACCGTGAAAGTGGAGCTACTGCATCGCAACAGCGCCAAGGGGCTGGAACCGCAAGCTGATGAAAAGCACAGCTGTGTCTGGTCCTTCAAGCATGAAGCAAAATCTAGGAAGCTGTGTGTTCCGGCAGCTTTCCAAGGCGCCACCAGAGAACTTCATCGATGATTCTTTCGGAACGGGTCCTGCAAGAAAGTCCGGAGACAACTGCTCATCCGGAATATAGTCAACCAAAGTTGACCTGGACAATGTGCATCATCACGCCCAACGTTGAGCCAGATTTGGGTGAGCAAAAAACACCGTGGACTGCGAGCAGCTCGGATAGAGAAAATGTACTGACAGATGGCATTACTTTGTGGTTAGGCTGTATCTGTCCAAGTAACAGGCTTACATACTATGTATGGATGGATAAACGTGCATATGTAGTTATATGCAAATATAATTACTCCTAGTCAAAATTATAGTGTATTGTAGAATCACGTTAATTATATGAAGTTATATCTGCAGATTCCAAGTGATCAATCAAACCGGCAACCAGTGCCGTCGTGGTTGTTTTAACCAGTGCGGTCATGAACCGCAGAGCACTCCAGCACCTGGCCTGATGGCCCCAAGGATCGGGTTCTCCCGCTGTCGGTTCCGGGCCAGGATGGCCTAGCGCTTCAGTTCCAAGCGCGACAGTTACTGGGCCAAATGATACTTACAGTTTTTTTTGCGTACTGTATGTATCTTTATACATACAACTTACAACTTAGAACATAGCAAAATGCTTAAGTAAGTATAAGTCAGCATGACTTCATGTTTCACCATCTCCCATAATGAAACAAATTGCCGTTTGACGGTGGCGTTCGGTCACAGGTCGCACAGAGTTGGTCTCGAACGTCTCTCTGTGAGACGACCGTCGTCAATATCGATACAACCGTCTTCTTTCGTGCTTGCTTAGACCGCCACCTGCTTGCTTCTTGCTAAGTAGGCTCCTGGTTCGCCCACTTCGCCGGAGGAACCAACAAAGGGTTCGTGCTTCCAGTTAACACGTTGACATGTCCCACATTGCTTGTCCCAAACAAGCCAATGGTCATTGATGTCACTGGTCCTCTGGATTCCGCGGCATCAGCCATCCGGCTTGACATCTGAAGGCTCCGCTTGGAAGTACCCCTCAAACATCCTTAAACATCGGCCATGACTAACTTCACCGGCTGATGTGTGGTGGTTTGAGATATTGGTCTGTCTTGTCAACGTTCCTGGGATGTTCAAGTACGGGGTATGCTTCGGAGGTCAGCTTCGGGGGTATGCTTCGCCCAGTGTGAAGACTGGCTAAAGTAGCGCAGTATTCTCAGAGGGTATGCTTCAGAGTATGCCTCGCCCAAGTCGAACATCCCAACTATAGACTGGTTCTACAAAAATGAATCTTGGCCATAGGGGCTTGTCTTTCAAGGGATTGTCTTGACCAAGAAAACACCACTCTGCAAAGACTGCTGCGTCAAACGCGGCATTCCGCAATGTACTACATAGTTCCCGTCACTCACTGTACTTTTTGTCTTCTATCCTCTTGGCGGGCTCTCTAACTAAGAGCTGGCTGCGGGTGATCAAGCACCATGCTCAAGTAGGTGTAAGGCTGATGATGTTCATATTTCCCCACTGGCTTTCGAATCTAAGCAAGGAGACTTAGATTTGAATAACCCAATAACCTAGAAACATTCAAGAGACCTTTTGGATTGGCTGAAACCGATTGAAACTGATACCCGCAGTATTTGCACAGAATTGAAGCTCGGACAAATCAAAAAAAATCAGCTGGTGGTATCTTTTTCAAGTTCATGGCTTTGCCATCCTGAGACTGTGAGACGAGGGGACCTATCGGCCCTTTGCTTTCGCTTTTGCTTTGCCACCTGGCAAACTCCAAGATCGGACAGATTGACCCAACGAGGCCATGGTCAAACAAGGGCAACCTCCAAAACTCGCCACGGGCTCGCCGGCTACAGTGTGTTTTCCGGAACTCCACACGTTACACCGGTTCACACTTAGGCCCTTGCTGGACTTGGAAGCTGCTTTGGCCTGCAAGTTGGGCACTTTAGACTCTGCTTGTGCATTTGGTGAACTGGATCAGGCACTCACAAGAGTGGGTCAGAGGTGGGGGGACCTCAAATGAGGAGAATGAACATCGTAGAAGGTCTCCAAGTTTGGAGACATCGTGCCGATCGGTTCTTGATGGCTGAGAATAGGCACAACTCATACAAACCTGCTAGCCAGCTAGCCAAGACTCGAACCTAAAGAGTGATAGAAAATGGTTTGCATGACTTGACCCCCCGCGCAGAGATGCCTTCCCTTTGGCTTTGGCCTGAGTAAAACAATCCGCTCAGGTGCAGGCCGACAGTGGCCGGTCTTGCAGTGTGCTGAATCTTGCAGTCTTGCCTTTGGTTTGTCAGCTTCGCCGTCCTCCTCACCACCTGTCCCGATAGCTTTCTACTCCAATATCGATCTGTGCACATCAAGTCTTTGCACCAGAACCGCGACAAAGAATGGTGTCCAAGAAGCAAAAATTTTCAACACACGTCCTGTTCTTTCCCACCTGGAGGTGTCAACATGACTTCACTCGGTGATGCGGCCACTGGAGCCTGCTGTGGCGTTCTCTCAGCGCCCAACAGAAACAAGCAAATTCAAATTCACTGATGTTTTCAGCCAGGTGGGAGAATAGACCTTTTGACTTCCGGCCGCCCCTATATTCATATATATATATAGACGGAGGGAAAGTTAGAATGGGGGCCGAGTCCCAAAAGGTTATTCCCCGTCACTTAGAATGCGCCTGAAATAGTCTTAGAATGCCACCGCTTAGAATGCCCCATTTTTTTGAACCAGGTTGAAAGGGTTCTGCAGACTGAGAATAAGCAGTCAAAACACACATAGAATGCACATACGTTTGAATATGCACATATATAATCACATATATCAATATATTAAACAAAAATATATATATATATATACAAAAATATATAGGCACATAGATTCCTCGAATTGATTGACAATATCAACAAAAAACAACACTCACAGCTGATAACTCGGTCACCCTCCGCTGGTGGTCCGGCTTAGGACACGCCACATGTAGACACATATATTCATTCAAATAAATGCACTCTTGGCATGGTGCTTCCACAAGAGGTATGATGTGAGTAGAGTGTCTTTCTTTGCTTGAGTGCTTGTTTCCTTGCAAGCTTGTTTCAAAAGACTCCAATTCAAGACTTGCCCTCTTTTCGTGGCACCGCGTCGGAAGAGTTCACACCGCCAGTGCACAGTCATTCCACAAATATATATATATTACGTAATTATATTCCATGCATATATATATATATATGTTTATACACATATTCCATTGGTCTGAGAAGAATTCCACAAAAGCCACCTGAGCAGGAGCATCGACGCCTGAGTTGGAGCTTCGGGCAATATAGGTTCATGAACCTCACTGAGGTTCATGCCCTTTAGCACTTCTCGGATCTCGTCATCTTTGGCAACAGTGAAAGCGTCCTTCCTAGCATCACAAGGCACCAAAACTCCGCCGATCTTCGGGTCACAGAGATCTTTGTCGACCGAACTCTGGAACTCTGGCCTGTACGCATTTTCGATGCTCGGATCTGCCTTCTTGGCCATGAGCACCTGTACATCTGGCCACATGTCCAAAAGAGATGGCGGAGTGGAAGGGAGCGTGGAGCGTCGCTGGAGTCAACGGCCCCTTTTGCCTGACAAACCTTCTTGTGACCATGAAAGGCGGCAATGGAGATCGGTGTCCAACCCTTGGAATCTCGAGGATTGACGGCAAAGCCTCGGAAGAGCTGCCAAATGAACCTTTCTTCACGGAACCATCATGAACCATCTAGGTCATCCATGGTCATCCAAAGGCTCATGCCAAACTCCTCCAGAAGCATCGAGACGATCTCATGGCGCCCTGGCATGTCCCACCGAATCACGTTTGCAACGGGGCGGAGGCTACATGGCAGTCCCACCGTTTGCAGCTGCCAGGTGCAGGATATTGTTCCCTTTGTCATCTCGGTACGACTGTGCCTGGAACACTGCGGAGAGCATTCACCGTGTCTTGGTAAAGATCCTCACTCTATGTCACTCTAGTCTGCAAAAGACCACGCAACATGAAACCAAACCAAAGGGGAGAGAACGGGGGCACAAAAGGGGGAGCACCAGAGAGGAGTCGTCTTTCGGTCCACGAGTCTCCTCCTTTCGGTCCAAGTCCATGAGCTCGGTCTGGAGTGAAGTCTTCTCACCCTTCCTGGCTGACGGGAAGTCTGAGGCCAACGACCGTGAATAGGTCCTTTAGGCCCTTGTTGAGGGCCCGCTTTTAGGCCTTTTCGGTGGTTTTAAGGACTTGGGACTTTGGATGAGATTTAGTGAAACCCATATAGTCTGCTCAGGGATGTAGTTGGTGGAAGAGCTGTGCTGCATGGTTCGGGGTTTTCTACCCATCTTTCTGCGCCTAGCTCTTCAAGTCTGCGACAACTTGCTAATGTTATATACAGCCTACAGCAAACCCATGGATAAATGTCTGCTGGTCAGAGTTGAAACCCTAAAGAAATCCTTTTGAAAAGCGGCACCGTGACCCGTGCCGGAGCGCACTCGGTGAGCTCACAGAGCTTGGCGGTGATCTTTTGACGGGCCAGCTGAAGCCGCTCCTGGAGAGCTGAAGGCGAGCCGGATCCGAAGGCGAGGGATCTTGAAGGGACTGGATTCCTCCACACGGATCCGTGTCATCCCAATGACATGCCACGTGGCCTATCCCAATTGTGGCCTACTTGTGTGTAACCCGCATCATACTGAGAAAACACTGAGCAAGATATCCAGCTTTGCAAAGCAAAAGAACAGTTGGCAAATAGCAAGCCTCTTCGTTGCGCACGTTATTCTCATCTTCTACATCCTGTGCTGCTGCACGTTCCTGGGCCAGTTGAAGTCTCACTGAACTCCCGCGCTTAGATTTGCCTGGCCTTGCCTCTTTCAGAGCATCGGTTTTGGCAGTGTCCCATGCCTCAAGCAGGCGACAAGAGCCCATTGGCCCATTTGCAGCTCTGGAGATGAGCCGGTCCAAGAATGCCAATGCTTGTGGCTTGCAGGTACAAGGTTCTTCTAGATGTAAGTACAGCTAGAGATCTTACACCATGCCATAACTGTTTTCCTTCAGGTCTGTCCTCCAACACGGCTCGCGTCTCATCATTGCTGGCCATGTCAAAGGGGAGCTCCCCATGTCGGTCCTCATCAAACAGATTCAGACAGACCCGAAGAAGACGAAAGGTCGGCTGTCAGACCGGGCCGCCTTTGTCCGTGGGTCACTACCCCGCTCAAGAAGCAATTGCGCCACCTCCTGGAGTGGGATGGGAAGGTTGGAAGAGTTTGCACTGCTCACGTTGGGTCAACGCTTTCCCGGAGCAACTAAGTGGCGCACGTGATGCCCCTGAAAACACGCTCGATGAAGTGCTGTGCGACCATCACTTCCTGGCAGGTGCGGACATCATCCACCAGCCGATCTCTCAAATCGGCCGGCCTTGCGAATTGGGGTTGCTCCCAATCGGAGCCTGGCAAGATTGGACTTCACAGGAGCAGCTCCCACGGCCTCTGTGACCCAACAGGAGCGCAGCACCTTCCAATCCTGAGCGAGCACTTGCTGCAGAAAGCATTCACTGCAGAAAGCTGGGAAGCCGACCAGGAGGCACCTGACCAACCCTCGATGTCCTGCACAAAGGCTGTGTGGCGTCCAAAAACCCGTGACAAATGCCCAAAATGATCCTGAGAGATCTTGAGACTAGTGTGTCCCAAGAATACACACACACACTATATACTGTATATATATATATAAAAGAGAGAGTGAGTATCAACCGTTGCATTTTGTGAAAGAGTTGAGGTTTGGCAAAGGCGACTCTCACTGAGTGACTCAGCGCTCTGGCCTTGAACAGCTGCTTCAGATAATGGTGTGTTTCCTCGGCCATCCTGACAGCATCTGACGATCCTGGGTTCTGTTCAGGGAGGCCTACACGCCTTGGCATTTGGATCTGCAGACTGCTCTAGCAGCTTCTGCACGGCCTGCATGGAAAAGCTCAGCTCGAGATCTTCCAAAAGATCCACTAGGTAGTCACTAGGGTCGCCGATTCGCACTGAGCCAAAAGGCAATTCTTTTGAAGAGCCGAAGCACTCGCTTTCTGCCTCCAGGTCTCCGTCGAAAGCAAACTCCAGGAGATCGTCATCAAGCTTCACCTGGCCGACACAGAAGGAGTCACTACTTCGAGGTCCCAAGACAAGGCCAAGACCTCAAATTTTGACTTGTCCGAAGTTCCAAAGCTGCCAACTTTGGCTCAAAGATGCTCAAAACAACATCTTGAGCAACTCATCTGCCTGCTCTTTTGACTTCTCCTTCTCCTTCTTCTCTTGCCCACCCCAACGGCCGGCGTTTTCCTGTCAAAGGCAAGGACATTGTCCTCTTGCTCCACCTGACACACTCCGGTCGCCTTGACCTCCACCTCAGAGACGTCCACCTGATCGACATTGTGGTCGTTCAAATCCACATCGGTCGCTTCTCGCATCTGTCGCTTCTCGCATCTGGTTTTTGTATGTTCCTCTTGGTTCATCCACCCACCCACACACCCACCCGTAATGTTTGTTGTTAGCAGGTCCTTCTCTTGGGTATATATAGCCCGCCTTTAGAATGATCATCTGCTCCGCCAGCTTGGCTGGAGGCTCCTGGGAAAGAAAAGTGTTCAGGGCCTGGTCCAGCCTGGCAGATCCCAATCCTGCTTCGTTGCGACCACCAGCCGGAAGGAGTCTTTGGGATCAAACCTCCAAGACTGTCACACGCAAGCGACGCAGAGTCTGGGTTTGGCTGATGACTGCATTCATTGTTGGAAATGAATTGAAACATAAAAACCGTGCCGGTTAATAAAACTGATTGTTCTTGAACTGAAACATCAAAACACTCATGAATTCATCGCTGCGGATGATTAATTCAGTGGGAAACTCTGCAATCTGCAGGGACCTAAACAAAAGGTCTGCAATCTTTGAGTTGAAAGCCTTCTGAGTCTCAGTTCTAATGTTCGAAGAGGCGCAAATGCTTGGTGCTTGCAGGACCCAAACAACCCATTTTGATGTACAGAAGGTTATAATTGGGAATCCGGGTTTCATCGTTCAGCAGCTTCAACAAAGGATCCATCCTGTGAAACAAAAGTTAAGTCAAGGCTCTTGTTGCTCAAAAGAACCTCTCCTTGAAAACATCCTAGCTGCTGAGGGAATGGTAATGGAGTTGCAGTACGACAATTGCAGTTCTCCGATGATGGTCTGCGGTATTGTCGAACTTGTCAGTTTGACTGCTATTTTGCGAACACACTGTCTCCAAAATCACAGAGTCTGGAATCGTCGAGCTCAAGCGCGGCCGCACACAGTATCGAAAGCTGTCAAATGGATGAGAAGCCACATACATGGCTGTGGGACAAAACCGAACCTGAAGCCCCAACCCATATCATAATATGGGGCTGTCCAGGGTTGCCGGCTGTCAGTTGGACACTTAAAGTGTGTCAACCCCCCTGCAGCACTCAAAAGCATTGGGTGCAACGGAAATCACAGAGTTAGCGATCAGCAGACTTCAAATGCACCAGTCTGAATGGAAGCTCCACTGGTTAAAATCTCACGTTCCACAAGCAACTGCAGTCAGAAAATGCATTGCTTCCAATGAGCGTCACCAAGGCTGCAAGGGTTGGGCGTGCTATGGCAAACGCGATTCCTCACAGAGAGCAGAATTGTCCAGCATGTCAAGGATTCGCAATTGCTGAATGCGAAATGAAGCCGTGTTGGGAGCAGGCAGAATTTGGATGAGCGGATCTTCCCAAGAATGCGTTTTCCGAGATGAAGGTCGCAGAGTTTGGGATTCCATCCCATCTAAATCAAGGCATCTGAATGCAATTCCAATGCAAGAAGCCCCTTTTGCTGAAACCATCCCTCCATCCATCATGCGAATTCTTAGACCTGTGGACCTCGAGAAAGGCTGAAAGCTGGTGGCCACAATACCTCCTTATTCTCAGCTTTGCGCACATCTATCCGTCTATATAATCAGTCTGACTTTGCCTTTCGTTGAAATGCTTTCAATTGCAAAGGCCCTGAGGGTCATCGATTCACTTCGTTGCTCTGCGTCCAGCTTTGACCAGTTTGGTGTTCTCCTCTCAGTTTTCATGATCTTATCATCTTGAAAAAGTGTCATGATCGTTCTGTTTTTTGAGGACATGATATTGCAGCCATAAATGCGGCACTGAAAAGCAATTGACTATAGTGGTTAAACAGTACGTGGATCCTCCAGTTGTGCCTCTGCTGTCTGGACATGTCAGCCGTTCATCACCCAAAAAGACTGGGCCACCCACTTCTTGTTGATGTCGGCAACTCTCTCAGGAGCATGGCACTTTGTCCTGTCCTGATGAGTCAAATGAGACTGTCAATTGTCAATCCAGGTTCAATCAATATCTGTAAGCAATGACTTGCAAATCACCAGAAGATCAAGGGTGAAGATGCAGGTGTCTTGCTGCCAGTCGGATTTGATGTGTTTTCCCTTCAAAAGCTTTGCAGCTTCCAGTTGTTTCTGTGTATGTTCTTCTCTCCTGAAAGGCCCCCTCTGCCATCGCAGCTTGGTGCTCATAAGTCACCTGCAGCAAAGCTTTGAAGAACAGGCTCTGGCTGGAGAGGAGATCGTTGCTATGTACCATCCCAAGGTCTAGACCTAAATCTGAGAGGGTGAAAACTTCGGGAGTCACAAGACTGTCTCAATAACATAACCTCAACCACCTTACGCTATCGAAACAACTCAACACCATAATAACATGCAAGGCACCTTTGCAGCAAACTCGTCTGAGGGTCGCAGAAGAGCTGTATAGTTCTCCTTACATGATGGACGTCAACATCAATACATTGGGTACTGAAGAGCACGCAGATCACTTAGAGGCAGTTGCGCGGGAGACTCTCCACGCCCAAAACTTTGCTGCTCATATCTTTTCATGATGCCAATCCAGGCAGGATGTACATCTAAGAACACCCAGGCCAGGCGGTGATATGAATCATCACACATCATCGGTTCTTTTACATCTAAGAAAATGGCCATCCACCGCCCTTCATCCACTCCGGTCGCTCCGGCCTGGCCTCAAGGAACAACTCGTGTGGAGATAAGACCAGCTCTGGAAAGTGGTCCTGGACTCACTCCAAGTCTCCAGTGTTTGAATTCTGCTCAAGGCAAATAAACAGAGACCTGCGCAGGACAAATGATCGGTTGTATAGATAGATAGATAGATAGAGAGAGAGATAGAGAGATAGAGAGATAGAGAGATAGAGAGACAGAGAGATAGAGAGATAGAGAGATAGAGAGAGATAGAAAGATAGATAGATAGATAAGAAAGAAAGAAAGAAAGAAAGATAGATAGATAGATAGATAGGATAGATAGATAGATAGATAGGTAGATAGGTAGATAGGTAGATAGGTAGATAGGTAGATAAGATAGATAGATAGGATAGATAGGATAGATAGGATAGATAGGATAGATAGGATAGATAGGATAGATAGGATAGATAGATAGATAGATAGATA